GAGCTTTCCTGGAGCATTTCAGTCCTTGGTAATGCAACTGAAGCAAACAATCAGATTTGGCCACATCCACACGAAGCCAGAACTTTCCCTATCCGACTCAAAACGATGTAGAATACATGCCAGAACAGTATGTGTCGTTGTAATTCTGCCACAGAGATACACTAAAAACGGAGAAGAAGACTTGGAGCATTCGCATAAATCTTGCGCACAGTATACAAACATTTTTGCTTTAGTAATTTTGGATTTTCTCTTTAGTAAAGCTAATAGGCTCAGTAGCTTCTGCAGCACGAACACAAGCATGTAGTCCGCCATTGTTGTTGTTGTTGCTGTTACGTGACGTAGCGGTGTCTGACCAGGGTTGAGATGTGGCGTGATGACAACATCGTTTCACAAAATATATTTTTCACAAAAAATAGCAGTTTCAGGCTCCCAAAACGCCAGATCCGTCTGGACGAAACGCCGATACAATACAAATTTTTTTACGTATACAGCTAAACGCATTTCCGTGTGGACGAGGCCTATGGGTGGCAAGGCACTGTCAAAGATCTCCAGGATAAAGTTGTGGACAGGCACAAGTCAGGAGATGGATACAAAAAAAAATTCAAGGGTTTTATCAATGCCTAGAAGCACAGTGAAGTGTATTATTAAGAAGTGGAAGGTATTTGGTACAACACAGACCCTCCCTGGAACAGGACGTCGCTCCAAACTGGATGAAAGAGCCAAGAGGAAACTGGTCAGAGAGGTGACCAAGAGGCCTACAGCAACTCTGAAGCAGTTGCAGGAATTTATGACAAAGAGTGTTCGTTGTGTGTATGTGACAACAATATCACAAATTCTCCACAAATGTGGCTTGGGAGGGTTGCAAGCAAAAAGCAGTGAATGAGGACTGGATGATTCAAAAACACAAAAGAAACCTAAAATTATCATTAAACTAGTCCTTGTATACAAACAGACCATAAGTTCTTGTTCACTGATCTTCTGTCCAATGAGCTGTTGGATCACTGATCACCTTCTCAATGGCACCCAAAGCCATTTGACTTTCAACTGTGATCAGCTGTGGTCATTTTGATTAGCTCAGCATTAAAAGAGCTTTCCTGGAGCATTTCAGTCCTTGGTAATGCAACTGAAGCAAACAATCAGATTTGGCCACATCCACACGAAGCCAGAACTTTCCCTATCCGACTCAAAACGATGTAGAATACATGCCAGAACAGTATGTGTCGTTGTAATTCTGCCACAGAGATACACTAAAAACGGAGAAGAAGACTTGGAGCATTCGCATAAATCTTGCGCACAGTATACAAACATTTTTGCTTTAGTAATTTTGGATTTTCTCTTTAGTAAAGCTAATAGGCTCAGTAGCTTCTGCAGCACGAACACAAGCATGTAGTCCGCCATTGTTGTTGTTGTTGCTGTTACGTGACGTAGCGGTGTCTGACCAGGGTTGAGATGTGGCGTGATGACAACATCGTTTCACAAAATATATTTTTCACAAAGTTTCAGGCTTTCAGGCTCCCAAAACGCCAGATCCGTCTGGACGAAACGCCGATACAATACAAATTTTTTTACGTATACGCATTACCGTATTTCCGTGTGGACGAGGCCTATGGGTGGCAAGGCACTGTCAAAGATCTCCAGGATAAAGTTGTGGACAGGCACAAGTCAGGAGATGGATACAAAAAAAAATTCAAGGGTTTTATCAATGCCTAGAAGCACAGTGAAGTGTATTATTAAGAAGTGGAAGGTATTTGGTACAACACAGACCCTCCCTGGAACAGGACGTCGCTCCAAACTGGATGAAAGAGCCAAGAGGAAACTGGTCAGAGAGGTGACCAAGAGGCCTACAGCAACTCTGAAGCAGTTGCAGGAATTTATGACAAAGAGTGTTCGTTGTGTGTATGTGACAACAATATCACAAATTCTCCACAAATGTGGCTTGGGAGGGTTGCAAGCAAAAAGCCACTCCTCAAGAAAGGCCACATGCAGTCACGACTGAGCTTTGCCAAAATGCACCTTGACAATGGGAAGAAGGTTTACCTTCCAACATGACAATGACCCAAAGCACACAGTGGTTGAAGAAGAAAAAGGTGAATGTCCTTGCATGGCCTAGTCAGAGCCCAGACTTAAACCCCACTGAAAATCTGTGGAATGACTTGAAGACTGCAGTCCACAAACAGTCACCATCAAATTGAACTGAACTTGAGCAGTTCTGCAAAGAAGAGTGGGCAAATATCGCAAAGTCTAGATGTGCAAAGATAGTAAAGACATATCCCAACAGACTAAAGGCTGCAATTAAAGCAAAAGGTGGTTCAACAAAATACTGACACAAGAGGGTGATCCTTTTTCCAACTCAGTGATTCTGGGGGGGGGGGCCTAAAAGCTTTTGGCTCTATCCTGCTCTGAAGTCTGTTACCGTCATAAAGCACACATGCAGCCATTCGTTTACCCTCTCTGACCGAATAAACAGCTTGTTCTTAAGAGCATCATATCAGATTCACATCTGTACTCAATGAAAATCTCAATCACTCATAATGGTGAGCGGTGTTCAGCTCCAAAACAGTATACAAAGATCAGTGAGGTCAAAAATATCAAGACGAAATCTGTCTAAGACTATAATGTATTACTACTATATGACTCTGCGGTATAGTATGTATACTGTCCACATTTATCAGCCAAAATATCAGCCTATCCTTACTGTGCAATAAGCATTACTGTAACTATTTCATTCTGAATACAGACAATATGCATTTGGATCGATGGGAGGGTCCGGTCCAAAATCCACTCTCCTCTCTTTCTGCACCCCTCATCTTTTTTATTCTGTCCCTCTGACCTCTCTGCCTGACTGACCCTCCTGATTTAATGACCTCACACAGACGGGACACTCAGATAGAATGGGTGAGAAAGAGAGCGAGAGAGCGAATGGGCGCCAAAAGCTAAAACAAGCGGAGTGGGATTCATTGCTGCTTACAGATCAGAATTCTCCCTTTTTACCCCTCAGATTCATCTTTTATTTTCTTCATCTGTTCGTCCTCTCTCCTGTAGCTTTAGTGTCACTGTATCTGCAATTCATTCCTCTCTCCTTCTCTGATACAGCCATTCATTTCAGCCTGTCACTCAAAATACCTGTCCCATCCTCAGCCTTCATTTCAAATGATCATTCCTCTCTCCCTCTCTCTTCCTCTGTACTCGTTTTCAGAGTGGATTTGAAAGGAGTGACAGATATGCCGAGTGAGAAAGTGTGGCAGAGGAGCCAGCAGATTCTATATCAAACAGAACGACCCCGGGCTGGACTCCGCTTCGTCCACAGTGAAAGCCGACCTGGCGATCGACAGCGCGAAGTTGAAGTATTTCATCAGCGACCAGCACAGATCAGCTCTAGGCATGACGAAGAGGATATCGTCCTCTTTTGGAAGACCAAACAAAGTAGTTTCGCTTTCACAACGAAACACACAGAACACAAACACACACGCGTCTTCACGACATGGCGGCAGCAACAATACTACAGCGAGAATAAAAGTTATGCCTTCTTTCTTTGCGTGAACATTTGGGCGGCGTTATGCAAATCTTCCCACATCGTGACGTAGACATGTGGGGGCGTGTTAGAACGAGCCGTTTTAGGTAGGCGTGGCTGACTCTTAACTTTTATAAAGAATATCTCTTTGGATTTGAGACTTTAGTCTTTGCAACTTTACAGATCTTCTTTATGCACCAAGAGCTTGTAACCCTTCAAAGAGAAAGGAGAAATTGAAATCGCATCATATGACCCCCTTTAAGACTGGTTTTGTAGTCCAGGGTCACATATGTGATTTATTAAAATGTTATTTATAATATAATAAATATTAAATTAATGTATATTTTAAATGTATATAATTTTATTAAATTATATTATTGTATAATTTATAATAACCACTTAATATGCCATCCTATTCAGTAAACTTCAGTGGAACATTGTGGGATTGCCTTCTCAGCACAGAATAAATACAATGCTGCCCTAAAAATGAATCTTATCAAACTTTTGGAGGAGCCTTCACATCTTGAGGGTACCTAGGATGCTTTCAAATGTAGCTCACAAGTTTTGGAACAGAGCTCATGTCTTCTGTATTAAAGCTGTTCCAGTGTTCCCAAACTGATCAACAGTTGAGAGACAAGTCCTAAAACTGGAGAACTAGAGAACTTTCTTTGCAGTCAATAAGTTCAGTGAGTTCACCAGAACTCATGCATGTGGGGCCAAATGGACCGAAAGGTGAACCAGCTCAAATGTACAGAGGCAATATCTCAGCTTTCAATCAATATTAGCCTACTTTCAGCTCAAAGCAATTTATAACTCTGTATGTGAATTAGGGCGAAAGATGACAACTATACACACTTCAGACAATAAGAGCATGAAGACAAACAAATAAGCAAACTGAAAAAGCCCTGTGGAGTAGATCACTCTGGAGCGCTTATGCATGCACAGGTGATCAGGTCCAGCAGCTGATAACGTGCATCACCAATTACCTCCTGCCATCACATAACATTATAAGCTCTTAATGTCAGTAATGGCATGCCAGCCATTCCTCTTGCATCAGTGTCACCATCAGTCATAATAACACATTAATATGGTTATCAGCTGACACGCTGTTTTATTTGGTTCTTCAATAAGTTTCCGGGGGTGAAACCCCTCATGCGCTCAGGGCAACCCGCTAGTTCACCCTCTGAGCTCGCCTGACACATGAATAAATAAAGACGCGCAGCGCTACCCGATACACCGGACACTTACGCGAAAACTAAAAACATTCAAAGGTTAAAAATACATTAACCCTCAAAAGCTAATAAAACACTTAAGCATTACTGACACAAGATACAGAAACTGAACTGCCAACTAAAAGCATGTATTTGGATTAGTTGCATCCCTGTGTAATTTTCGGACATGTCTAGGTGATACTGAAGTAACGTTATCAATAAAGGTAGTGGTTGTATAAACTTGTCAGCAGTTTTTCAGAGTAAGTCGGAGATCTTACCCGCTGCCTCCTCCTGATCAGTCCGGCCCGAGCGTTCTTGACAACCGACCGAGCGACCGCTGATGCTGCTGCTGCGAGAGTACTGCTGCTCCGCCTGCTCAGCCTCCTCGCTCGCTCGCTCTCTCTCTCTCTCTCTCTCTCTCTCTCTCTCTCTCTCTCTCATCATGTTGCGGTTTCAAGTTTAAAACAAGTTGAATGCTGCATGACTGAGCAGCATTGTCGGGTGTCATTTGTTATTTACAAATGAAGCTTGCTAGAAATGTCATTTTGCATCTCACTGCATTCAAACAGTGTGCATGTGAAACGCTCATTCCTCTCTTAGTTTATACATTAGGCCTACTAGATTTTCTTTCTTTTTAAATTAAATTGTAATATAATCCGATGGTGCTTTGTAATAAAAACCAAATGAAAACCAATTTTTTTTAAAGGGGTCATATGATGCGATTTCAATTTTTCCTTTCTCTTTGGAGTGTTACAAGCTCTTGGTGCATAAAGAAGATCTGTAAAGTTGCAAACACTAAAGTCTCAAAACCAAAGAGATATTCTTTATAAAAGTTCAGAGTTAACCACGCCTACCTAAAACGGCTCGTTCTAACACGCCCCCA